AGGGGTGCCAGTGGTGCCCACCCCTGCCACCCACTTTTACCTCTCTTCTGCATGAAGCTGAAGAGGTCATCCAGGAACTCCTTGCGTTTCGGGTCCTCATCCAGTTCATAGAGCTGGGGGCAGGAAAGAGAGCAGTCAGTGCTGCCAGTACATGCAGGGGACAGGGCCCTGCCTGTACCAGGACCCGGCATCACCCCTGGCCCCACGAGCCTCCTCTGCCAGCAGCAAGAGGCTCTCCTTGTGTCATGGACAGGATACCCCAGCGCCTCCTCTGTGCTGGCAGTGCTGGGCTCTCCCTGTGCCTTGAGCCTGGCATGGGCAGCCCACACATTACTGACTATTGTGCAGCCTTGCTGCAGAGATGCTGCATCCGTGCCTCAGTTTCCCCTGCCCTTCACCTCCCTAGGTGGAGGGATGACTGTTGTGCCCTGGGAAGATGATGCTAGTGTAGACGGGACAGCAACAAATCCCAGATTCCCCACAGGCAGGTCCCTGTGACCTGGGTGCTCAGCCCTGCTCTGTCTCAGCATCCTGCTGGCATTGCCCAACGCTGTTGTTGAACACGTCTCAGCATGGGATCAGCATCCTCTTCACAGGGACACACATCCACCTGCACAGCAGGGATGCCAGTCCCATCCCAGGGCAAGGTGAGCTGGCGGGACAACGGCACGGGGTGCCACGAGGGAGCTGCCAGCGCTGGGGGCTGCGACACTCAACGAGGGTGACAGGGCTATTGACAACATGATTAGCACAGCCCAAGCTGTGTCACCCTGGGACAGGGCCTGATCAATGGCCAAGGACAGCACAAGGTCCCTCTGCAAAGGGACACACTGCCAAATCCTCGTCCTTCACCTGGGCACAGGGACCCCGAATCCGTCTTCCTCAGCTGTGCATGGGGGACCAGGGTGTGAGTGAGCGCAGCAGTGACACATCCCCACAAAGCACAAGGGCTTCCCACGGAGGGTGTGTGTGCAAAGCCAGATGCGTGTGCTCTGTGTGCAAGTGCACAAGCACGAAATCGCGTGTGCACCAACACTGGTGCTCATGTGTCACGGCAAGTTTGTGGATGCACCGATGTGCGTGCAAGCCAGAGAGGGCGCATGTGGTTACAGAGATGCACACATTCGGCTCTGAGGATACTTATGTGCATTGGATGGATGCGGGTCTGGACACACGGACACAGTCCCCAGGCTGAGCTGATGGACGGCACTGCAGAGGTGTGTGAAGCTCCTACACCAGGGACACGAAGCGCCGGCTCCGTGAAGAAGCCAGGGCTCGCCTGATTCCAGCACAGTGCCTGGGTGACCATGACAAATTGGAGCCCGCCAGATCGATGGCCCAGCAGTAAAAGTCAGAGCACATGAAGGAAAAATTAGCACCAATCGAAGGCGCTATAGACACCAATTCCTCCCAGCAAGCCCGGCAAGAATTTAAAGCCATTGAAAAGAAACAAAACTCAGCAGTCCAGAATGGATTTCCAAAACATATACAAAGAAATGCAAGCTGGAAAACAAAGTCAGGCACAAAATTGAGTCGTTTAAAAAACAATTGTGCTGGGAAAGGCCGTTAAAAACCAATAGAGCAGGAGCATCCCCCCCCCTCCACACAGCACATCATTCACCGGACAGATAAAGGGAGCTTTGCTGAGGGGAAGTCAGGCTGTAAGGATGTGGGGATGTGAGGATGGGGGGGATGCACGGACGTGATGGGGACACATGAATGCAAGGATGTGGGGATGTGAGGATGCAGGGACTCGGGGGGCCCCG